CACAGCTGCAAGTTCAAGGTCATGAGTCGGATAGTTCTTTTCGTGTAGGTGGAGTTGCCGAGAAGCATACGCAATTACCTTTCCATTTTGCATTATCACACACCCCAGGCCTTTGTATGAAGCGTCAATGTAAATCTGAAACCCATCTATATTATTAGGTAGAGTCAGAATTGGTGCAATCATTAGTCTAGTTTTCAATTCTTGAAAAGAAGACTCTTTTTGATCATTCCAATCAAACGGTACATTTTTTTGCGTTAATTGTGTCAATGGCATGGCAAGTTTGGAGAAGTCTTTCACAAATCTTTTTTAATAGTCAGCAAGTCCCAGAAAACTTTTAACTTCTGACACATTTGTTGGTCTTGGCCAATTTACAATAGCTTCAATTTTCTGCGGGTCAACCGATATGCCATCCTTGTTGATTACATGCCCCAGAAAAGTCACATTATCAAGCCAGAACTCACATTTGGAAAGCTTTGCATACAATTTCTTTTCTCTCAGAATTTGTAACACAGTTCTTAAATGGTTTTCATGATCTTCCCTACTTTTGGAGTAAATTAGAATATCATCAATAAACACAACAACAAATTCATCCAAATATGATTTGAAAATCCTATTCATGAGGTCCATGAAGGCAGCAGGTGCATTAGTTATCCCAAACGGCATTACTAAAAATTCATAATGTCTATATTTAGTTCGGAATGCAGTTTTCTCTATGTCTTCTACCTTAACTTTTAATTGGTGATACCTGGACCTAAAGTCAATTTTAGAGAATACTTGAGCTCCCTAGAGTTGATCAAACAAATCATCTATTATAGGTAGTGGGTATTTATTTTTCACAGTTGTTACCCCAGGTAGGCAACCCAAGAGGGGGTGAATTGAGTAATAAAAATAATGAGCAGAAAATTGATTGCAATAAATTCAGCAAGTAATGAATAATACTGAAAATAAATGAGAATGAAAGAAAAGCTCAAACACAAAGATTTATAGTGGTTCGGCTCACCGGCTTACGTTCACTCCTCAAGGTACCTCGAGAATTCCTTTACTATGAACCAAATCAATACACCACCAAGCTTCACCTAGCTTGTAGATTTTTACATAGGGCTTACTTTATCCGTTGAGTGCCTCTCAACTAAATGCCTAGAGGACTTACTTTATTCGTTGAGGACCTCTCAGCTAAATGCCTCATTTTACAAGGTTTTTCACTCAGAAAAAGTTGAATAAGAATAAGAGGTACAACTGTCCTCTTTTATAAGGTTTCTTTCTCAAAAGATAGATATGAGAGTGTAAGAGTAGAAAGGGTTTTGAGATACACTCAGATATGAAAGTGAAGGTACAATAGAATATCAGAATTGAGAATGATACTTGAATGCTCAAAATATTGCAGTGGTGTTATCTAAATCTTTAAATCTGGAGAAGTTCTCCCTTTATAGCCTTCAATGTTCTATCTATTGGAGAAGAAGCACAAGTGGGTCTTCTAACAGTTGGAGCTGGGAATAGGAGAAGACTTCTAGCTGTTGGAGTAGAGCATGGGTGTGTACAGGTTGTCATCTACCTGTTGGAGATGGAGCCTCCTCAAAAGATGTGATGCCCATGCTTGAGATTCAAATCTTGGTGGGACTTTTTGTTTTTCCTTGTTTTGGGAATAGTGTGGATGGAAAATTCTTCCTCCACTAAGTCAAAAGTTGCTGTCCCAAAATCCATTTTGATTTGAATAAGATTTGTCTCTTGATGATGTCACAAAATCCCACTTATAGATCTAGAATGGTAGCTAGGGTTTTTATAACCTAGACATAAGGGTGTCGACTCCTGTAGATTGGGGTGTTGACCCTTTGCTCTCTTTTCTTCTTTCCTTTGACTTCCTGGTGTTCTTGGTGTCAATCCTCAGCATTTTGAAATTTGGTGTCGACCCTTGTAAGGCTTTGGTGTCCACCCTTGGTTGCTGCAACACTTAAGCATTGTATACTGAAATCTGGTGTCGACCCTTGCTGTCTTGGTGTCGACCCTTCGACATGTTTAAGCTCATTTTGACCTCGAAAAACATTGTTAACATAGAGAGAATGTAGATTATAAAGATTTAATCAAACATTACGGTTTTCAATTATAATCAATTCCTCAAAATAAATCAAAACATAATCACAACAAAGTTATTAAAATCATGTTATTCATTCTATTTTTTTTTTTGATCGGCAAAAGAAAAGCTTTATTGATGAAAAACATACCAAGAAAGATAAGAATACATCAATAAAGAAGAGGGTGCAAAAAGCATCACAGTGAAACATTTGGATCCCAACTAGGTTGGCACCAAAACGCACACCCAATCATCTGCTAGCACACACTCGAGGCTCCAAGATGGTGAGAAACCAACAAACAGAGCAGAACAAAACAAGACAAAAACAAGAAGACAACAGCCAAACACTAGCAGACCATCCCCAGCCACTGGACATCCATGACAAACCCAGATTTCAACACAGAGCAGCTCGGAACAGTTAAGAACATCCTCTGATTTGGCGCCAGTTGAAAGTTAAATCATCAACGGAATAAGGAAGATCTTTAATAGATGCTTTCAGCCAAAGTACAGCTCTAATTTTGATATTTTCACTCAATCCAGAGAGACTAGGTTGAGCCTCTGCAAAGACACATTCATTCCTAAGTTTCCAAAGCGACCAAAGAAGCTGCAAGTTCAAGATCATGAATCGGATAGTTCTTTTCGTGTAGGTGGAGTTGCCGAGAAGCATACGCAATTCCCTTTCCATTTTGCATTATCACACACCCCAGGCCTTTGTATGAAACGTCAATGTAAATCTGAAACCCATCTATATTATTAGGTAGAGTCAGAATTGGTGCAATCATTAGTCTAGTTTTCAATTCTTGAAAAGAAGACTCTTTTTGATCATTCCAATCAAACGGTACATTTTTTTGCGTTAATTGTGTCAATGGCATGGCAAGTTTGGAGAAGTCTTTCACAAATCTTTTTTAATAGTCAGCAAGTCCCAGAAAACTTTTAACTTCTGACACATTTGTTGGTCTTGGCCAATTTACAATAGCTTCAATTTTCTGCGGGTCAACCGATATGCCATCCTTGTTGATTACATGTCCCAGAAAAGTCACATTATCAAGCCAGAACTCACATTTGGAAAGTTTTGCATACAATTTCTTTTCTCTCAGAATTTGTAACACAGTTCTTAAATGGTTTTCATGATTTTCCCTACTTTTGGACTAAATTAGAATATCATCAATAAACACAACAACAAATTCATCCAAATATGATTTGAAAACCCTATTCATGAGGTCCATGAAGGCAGCAGGTGCATTAGTTATCCCAAACGGCATTACTAAAAATCCATAATGTCTATATTTAGTTCAGAATGCAGTTTTCTCTATGTCTTCTACCTTAACTTTTAATTGGTGATACCTGGACCTAAGGTCAATTTTAGAGAATACTTGAGCTCCCTAGAGTTGATCAAACAAATCATCTATTATAGGTAGTGGGTATTTGTTTTTCACAGTTGTTACCCCAGGTAGGCAACCCAAGAGGGGGTGAATTGAGTAATAAAAATAATGAGCAGAAAATTGATTGCAATAAATTCAGCAAGTAATGAATAATACTGAAAATAAATGAGAAGGAAAGAAAAGCTCAAACACAAAGATTTATAGTGGTTCGGCTCATCGGCTTACGTTCACTCCTCAAGGTACCTCGAGAATTCCTTCACTATGAACCAAATCAATACACTACCAAGCTTCACCTAGCTTGTAGATTTTTACATAGGGCTTACTTTATCCGTTGAGTACCTCTCAAGTAAATGCCTAGAGGACTTACTTTATTCGTTGAGGACCTCTTAGCTAAATGCCTCATTTTACAAGGTTTTTCACTCAGAAGAAGTTGAATAAGAATAAGAGGTACAACTGTCCTCTTTTACAAGGTTTTTTTTCTCAAAAGATAGATATGAAAGTGTAAGAGCAGAGAGGGTTTTGAGATACACTCAGGTATGAAGGTGAAGGTACAATAGAATATCAGAATTGAGAATGATACTTGAATGCTCAGAATATTGCAGTGGTGTTATCTAAATCTTTAAATTTGGAGAAGTTCTCCCTTTATAGCCTTCAATGTTCTATCTATTGGAAAAGAAGCACAAGTGGGTCTTCTAACAGTTGGAGCTGGGCATAGGAGAAGACTTCTAGTTGTTGGAGTAGAGCATGGGTGTGTACAGGTTGTCATCTACCTGTTGGAGATGGAGCCTCCTCAAAAGATGTGATGCCCATGCTTGAGATTCAAATCTTGGTGGGTGGAGATAATGTTCTCTCCATGCTTTTTGTTTTTCCTTGTTTTGGGAATACTGTGGATGGAAAATTCTTCCTCCACTAAGTCAAAAGTTGCTGTCCCAAAATCCCTTTTGATTTGAATAAGATTTGTCTCTTGATGATGTCACAAAATCCCACTTATAGATCTAGAATGGTAGCTAGGGTTTTTATAACCCAGACATAAGGGTGTCGACTCCTGTAGATTGGGTGTTGACCCTTTGCTCTCTTTTCTTCTTTCCTTTGACTTTCTGGTGTTCTTGGTGTCAACCCTTAGCATTTTGAAATTTGGTGTCGACCTTTGTAAGGCTTTGGTGTCCACCCTTGGTTGCTGCAACACTTAAGAATTGTATAATGAAATCTGGTGTTGACCCTTGCTGTCTTGGTGTCGACCCTTTGACATGTTTAAGCTCATTTTGACCTCGAAAAACATTGTTAACATAGAGAGAATGTAGATTATAAAGATTTAATCAAACATTACGGTTTTCAATTATAATCAATTCCTCAAATAAATCAAAACATAATCATAACAAAGTTATCAAAATCATGTTATTCATTCTATGACTAACAATAGTCACTTTGTTCAATTCTTGGTAGTCTATGCATAACCTCAAAGACCCCTCTTTCTTCTTAACAAACAAAACGGGAGCACCCCAAGGTGAAGTGCTTGATTGGATAAACTTCTTGTCTAATAGTTCATGAAACTAGATTTTGAGTTCTTTCAATTCGGAGGTTGACATTCGGTATGGGGTTTTGGAAATAGGTTGCGTTCTAGGTACTACTTCAATGGTAAATTCAATTTCCCTATCAATCAAGTCACCATGTAGTTCATTTAGAAACAAATCGGGAAATTTATTGACTACAGGGATGTTCTCTACATTAGTGCTACCTGTCGGCACAGTCAATACACAATACAAATAACCCCGACAACTTTTTCTCAATAGTTTATTAGCTTTCATTGTAGAGATCAAATATGGGGGAGGAACTACACCATTCCCAACAAACACAATTTCAGGTAATCCCGGTGGCTAAAACACTACAAATTTAGCAACACAATCAATGGTAGCGTGATATTTTGCCAACCAATCCATATCCAATATGCAGTCAAAATGATATATATGCAATGGCAACAAATCAACATATAAAAGTGCTTCTCCAATTATAACATCACATGCATGATACACATAAACACATATCATAGAACCCTTAGATGGTGTAGATACCGATAACAAGTAATTCATAGTTTCTAAGGGTCTAGTCAATTTCTGAGAAAAAACATGTGACACAAATGAATGGGTAGATCTAGAGTCTATTAAGACATATGCATTTTGAACACAAATAGGAAGTATACCTAACACCACAGACTCGGTGTCCTGGACGTCCCCAGGCACAAGTGCAAAAACTTGGCCTTGTCTCACACTTCCCTTTCCAGTGTTAACTCTAGCTTTAGTTCTTGGTGTAGGAGTGGATCCGGCTAAACTTGCCACCGGACGGTTGGCAGTCTCATTGAGTGAGCAATCTTTCATCATGTGGTAAACCTTGCCACACAGGAAGCAAGCACCAGATGCACAATAATAGACACACTTATGTTTTCTTCCACATTCAGAACAAACAGGTGTAGATCCACTACTTTGGCTTGAGCTGCTAGTAGACCTTGTGTTTTGCTTCTTATTCGTAGCAAATGAATGACCCTTTCTGAAATTGTACCCAGATCTTTTACTTCCCCATTCAGTTGTTGGAGCCTTGGTCTGTTTCATAGCCGCTAGGTTGGCTTCATTCATCAGGGCTCTATCAAGTATATCCATATATTTGGGCAATTTCAATACACCAAGTTGATCAAACACGTCTAGATTCAAACCTCCTTCAAATTTTTGAGCTTTCTTATAATCCGCGTCCAGCATGCGAGGAGCAAATCGGGCTAACTCAGTGAATTTAGCTTCATACTCAGCTACAGACATGTTGCCTTGCTTCAACTGCTCGAACTCTGGCACTTTTTTTTTGTTTCTAAAGCACTGAGGAAAGTATTTCTCATAGAAGATCTCTTTAAATTGATCCCAGGTCATGGTTCTATTATAATGTCGAATAAGCATCCACCAACGGCGAGCTTCTTCTTTTAGAGTATAAGTAGCCAATAATACTTTTTGAGTTTTAGAGCATGGAAACACTTCAAATAACTTTTTAGTCCCTAACATCTATGTCTCAGCTTTTAGTGGTTCAATACCACCCAGAAAAGTTGGTGGCTTCATCTTGTTAAATTTTTGAGTCAAACTGAGAATGTCATTATTAACCGGCTCTACTTGGACTGGAGGGGGCGGGGGAGGCAAAGGTTGTTGTCTCAGTGATTCTGTTAAGGCCTCTAACATTTGTTCCATGTTGTTTATTCGGGCCTTAGAAGATTCAGTTGTACCATCACTTCTTGTGTTCTCCACTTGCTGAAGGTAAACCGAGCACTAATAAACACAAGAATAATCTTTTCACAATATTCAATTTTAGTTCATTTCGTTTCAATGTCAATGTATATTGGTTCAAATATGTTCACATGATGTTACATACACACACACACACACACACACACACTTATACATGTAGCTGTAATATCCCTAATTCCTTTCTAGAACATCCTATAGCTCATATGGACTCATGTGTGCGGTATAACACGTGCTCTGATACTACTCTGTCATGACCCAAATCTGCCCCTATAGGTTTAGCATCGTAACCAGCCAGTAATCCTGGGATTACCCAAGGCCTCTGAACAGATTAAGCAAAAGTAAAGGGACTAGTGGAAGCAAATACAAACACACAGTGTCTATAGAGCTGTGCAGACATATATGGGATAGAAAGTTTAAAACTTAATTTACGTAATTACGATGTCATCCACACGTCACCATAAATGTACATATAGATAAACAAAAGACATGTCCTGACTTAACAAAAGAAATACAATGGTCTTAAACATTGCTCACAAAACTTGACCACTTCTCAAATGGGAACCTCCTCAGGAGACATAGTGGCTGGCTGACAGAACGAAATTTGAGGCAATCAACTTTGAGCCTGATCACGTTCCTGGTCACCTATATACATAAATAATATGGTGAGTTAGAGCCTAGTGAATAACAATAAGGTAAAGGGGTTTATGAATGATATTTATCACAATTTCAGAAATCAGAGTTCATATCAAAAACAGACTCGGATTTACATACATATCCAGAAATCATAAGCAGTTATATATGGTACATCCATTAGCTATCAGATCAAATTGGTCATGGGACTTACATGCATAGTCGGTACTGACGACCATAAAGGTCTATATCTTGTGCACAAGTAGCCATGGCATTGTATCCCCCGGGTGAGGGCCATGTAAACATAGACCACGATATTGTTTCCCCCAAGCAAGGGCCATATGATCATAAGCCACGGTATTGTTTCCCTCGAGCGAGGGCCATATACATATTGGCCATAGTATTGTTTCTCCCGGGCAATGGCCATGTGAAATAAGGATGCTACAAATACATTTAAGAAAATTGGACATTCATTTATAACTTACAAAATAACATTTCATAAAACAAATCATATCATTTCAGTCAGAAAATATTTGTAATCAAACATAACTTTACAGAATTGTTACTCACAGATAGCTCCGATAGCAGAATAGTCAGAACAGTTGGATCAGACAGCCTATGGTATGTGACCTATGCCAACACATAGCGGATATACATTGAAACACATACTCGAAAAACACATAACTCATTTCTTTTCTATCTTGGTGTGTTTCTAATCCTTATCCTCATTATTTTGCTTTAATTAGGGCTTATGAATGCCTAATATGCAACGAGGATGTCAAAATGTAAGTTGAAACACTTAGTCAAATTTGCTGAAAACAGGGTCTTCGCTCGAGCACAACTTTGGTCGCTCGAGCGGCCTGTAAAATTATGTAAAACTTCTAGGAGCTCTTATTTTACGCTTACGCGCAACTTCTTGCACTCGAACGGAGGATCAAACATAAAGGTGGTCGCTCGAGCGTAGGTTCTACTGCTCGAGCCAACCCTCAAACTCTACGCAAGTACTGGGAGCTCGAATTCTTCGCTCGAGCTCAACTTCCTATGCTAGAGCGAAGAGTGTGAATTCTAGAATTTCCAGATTGGACTTCCAGCTCCAAACTTGAATTCAAAGCTTCAAAACACATCCTTTGGGCCCAAAACTTGAGAAAACATGTCTAAACTTCAACAACATCATGAATTGAAGGTTATTTCGCAAAATTAAGGCCCAAAAGCAAGTCAATTGTTTGAAACCAAACTTAAAACTCAATGTATAATACATGCAAGAGTTGATACAAATTCTATCATTTCAAAACATGATCAAATGAGATATTTAGCTCAAAAACATGTTGAATTCTTATAACAAAACCAATATAAGAACATGCATATAGGAATTCTTTTGAAACCACTCCAAAATGCTATTAAATGTGAATGTATGTAGGATTTGAATTATAATTCCCCAATCTCTTAGCTTAGTTCTCATGTTAATCTACTTAATTCTTTTGAATTCATACATTGAATGAGTCTCTCACTTTTTTCTCCTCAAGAAAATGATGAACAAAAAGAGTTGTAATGTGTGTATAAGCCTTATATAGGCTTGGTTAGTGGGCTTAATTAAACTAGACTTACAGCTAATGAATTGGCATTATTTTATTCTAATTATTGAATTCGAATCAGAATTTAATTAAACTTACCAGAAAATTCTAAAAAAATCCAAATAACACATTAACCTAGGCAAATTCGTGATCGGATGCCGATAAGGCCTTAATTTCACATATTGAATCAGGAAGTCAAACAGATATTTCTACATCAAACAGATATAAGCACAAATAACACCATACACATGCAATTAAGTTAGGATTTCCTCTTAATTACTTATTAGGCATTCTTAATCATGGTTTATTAGCTAATCACAGGCCGGGGTTGTTACAATTGCCTTTGAAGATTTAAGGTTTAAGAATATTGAAATCAATAGTTTTGAAGATTTGCACACCATGGATGACACTGAGATGGTTGGTTCGGATATAAACTTTAAAAACGTTTATTTGAACATTGAAAAGGTTAGTTTATGACTTAGGTTTTTGATTTTTTATTTATCTTGTTCGTATGTTGGAAAGATGAGTTTGTTTGCTGTGCTCAGATAACTAGAGTTGAATTTTTACACAATGTTAAGTTTGATCAACTTGAACATGACTAATTTGAAGAATTTGAAACGATGATGAGAGACGAGAGTTCAAGACCAATAATGAAGATTAACACCGGCAAAGATGGAGGCCAAATGAATCACTCCGCCAGCGATCTAAAACGATGAGACGACGAGATGCGACACAACGAGAGTTCAATAACAGCTATAGAGATCAACACCGACAAAGATAGAGGCCGAATGAAACCTCTGCTGGCGATGGAGATTAAGACCGACGGAGATAGTCTCTATTGTTGTCTATTTTGAAGATTGTGGGGTTTTTATTGTGTGTAATGATAAAGATGAAGAGTTTTTGGAGTGTGTAATGGTGTGTATTCAAATAGTTAGTGATGTGTTAATATAGGGTTAGTAATGGAAAGGTAAGGTATAAACTAAGATATTTTTAAAATATAAAAATTATTTTGTGTGTGTACTAAGTAATGATGCGTACTAAGAGTATTAGTAATGTGTAAATAGAATCACCCATTTATTTTGACGGGGTTAATGTTGGGATGAAGAGGACATTTTTGTCCCTAAACCTTTATATGTAGAAACTAATAAAAAAATGTAGATATTTTGTTCATGTCATTTTAGAGAAAATGACAATCACCCTGTTTGATTTTGAGTTTTCAAAAATAGTTTTCTGAGCTTTCAATTCGTATTTATATATTTTTAATGATTTTTAAAATAAATATTTTAATCATTTTTTTTAAATTTTTTTTAGATCCACTTATTCTTAATATACTTAAAAAGTAAATTACAATATATACATTTTTTAAAATTCGTTGAATACAACAAAATATGAAAATGTATTAATTTTTGTATTTGATAATTTAAAAAAAAAATTTCACAAAAATTTTACTTTTTAAGTGTATTTAGATTAGGTGTATCTAAAAAAATAAAAATTTGTATAAAATATTAAAAAAAAATTCACTACAAACAAAAAAAAAAAAACATTGAAAAAAAAAGGCTCAATTTTCTAAAATGTGGAATCAATTTTCTGGAACCAAATATGATGAATAATACCCTTTTGCACTTTTTACCTACCGCAAGCCATATTTGGCGGGTAAATAAACTGCAAATGCAAAATGCAAGTGAAATGGTGTAGTGTCTGTTATGATTGGACCTTTATTTTTGATATATTAGTTGTCACGCCCCGAAAATAATCCCAACATGAATAATACTTCAACCACATACATTCATTAATTTCAACCATTCTCCATCCTTTATATCAAAAATCACCAAGGTTTATACAAGGGTTTCACATGCAAATATACATTCAATGATAAGAAGACACCTGAATCTATAGCATGTGAAACATATAGTCTCAAAATATAAAAGAAATGCCCTTACGAGCTTACATCTTCCAAGGCAATAGCCCGGTTATACAAAATGGTCTCTCGAACCCATACCAAATTAGCCCTAGGCTTTACAAAAATTACAACAAAAGAAAGAGTGATCTGCTCTTCATCAAAACATATCCACACCCTTAGCTTGGTGGGATCACAACATCTTTACCTGCACCAAATCCCATAGGGGTGAGCATAAAACCCAGTAGAGAATTCTCACAAAGTATATACAGTTACGCAAACTCTAATTAGAAATGCAAATGTCAACGCCATGTCATGCGCCTTTTAAAGCAAATCCATTTCATGCTCCTTTAAAGATCACCATTTTTCAATAAAATTTGCAATCTCAACTTATTTCAAAACTTCCAATTTTTAATCAATAGGGGCGGTCAATACGACACTGGTAATCCCTAGGCTGGTGTTTGCAAGTAGACTCTACGAGTACTACCAAACTGTCATTTTTACCGGTATTAACCGGAAGGCTCAACACGTATCCGCGCGGGTTTCTGGTCTTTCACCATGGACACTCAGGCCAACTTATCAAATTCAACTATACCCCTTATCCGGATTTACCACGTATTTACCCCATTCACATTACCATAGTTCTCATTACAGTTAACAATTCCATTAAAGAAGTAAATATCCTCAACTTAAGGTCACAATGCATGAGGGTAAATTAAGTGAGTAAGCAATGCAATAATGTTTCATATCTCATAGCATTTCTCCATTTCAATTACCTCTACAATATTAATGACAACAATTACATTTCTCGTTCCTCTTTTCATGGTTCTTTCACAAGCTAATCACACACCATCACACATACTACAATTTCCTCATTTCGCAAGTTTTGGCAATTTAGTCTAAACAAGACTACATATGATATTTTCAAACATTAATCTTCAACACTCACAATTCTTACCATCCATGGTGCACAACAATTTGCCACATCATAATAATCCATATTCACACATTTGGTAAAATGCTAAAATGACATCTTATTTCTCATAGATCAAGTGGGTTGCAATTTTATTAAACATTTGATGGAATTTACTCTTATTCATTCTCTTGATGCAAGAAATGAAAGAAATTCATGTGTATCTTCATGTTTTCCCAAAACCTCCAAATTCTAGGGTTCTTCATTCAAGACAAAGCTTTTTCCCATTTTCTTAATGAATCCTTCCAAAATCATCCATTTTGAGTTTTATAGAAAGAACACCCTCATGAATAAAAGAAAAGTTGAGACTTTAAACCCATCTTTCAAAAGCCCTTCTCTTTCTTCATTTAGTGCAAAATTAAATTCAACACAACAACCTCATGGAAAACTTTTAAAATTAACATTTATATAGCAAAACATGTATATATGACTCAAGAAATTCCTACCTCAAGCTTAATGAAAAAGATGATAAAAGAAAGTGAAAACCCTAGCTTTGGTGGAAGACTCTTCAATTTTCCACAACACCAAGAGGAACCCCAACTTGGATCTTCAAGATTGGTGAGAAATGTTGATGATCTACACTCAAGATTACAAGAATCAAGGTGTTTTAGGGCTTTGGTGAGAGTTTCTAGAGAGAAGGAGGAGAGAAATGAGGTTTAGAGTGAGAGAAAAATGCTCCAAAAGTGATATAACTTCGGACCAAAAGGTAAAAAAAAATAGAGATTCAGACTGCTAGAGTGCCGCACGTGCGGTACACAACCCCGCACGTGCGGAGCGCCCTTCCCCGCATGTGCGGCCCTCATCCCCGCACCTCAGCCCGCACCTGCAATTAAAGCAGTGTGCAACACACAGAAATCCCCCCCCTGCACATGCGGCTTCACCACCCCGTACGTGCGGTGCCACCCCGCATGTGCGGCACTAGCCTAGCAGCCCAGAAAATTCTGGTTTGGTCCTCAGGCACTCCGGACTCGACCGCGCACCCTCCGAAACAACTAAAACTCAACACCGAGTGAAGAACAAGAACAAGGACTTTAATTTTTTGAAAACAGTTTCCAAGCATTCCAAGTTCAAACGAAAATAAAAGAAGGACAAAGAGATGAAAGGAGGGAAAGTGAAGAAAGGAAAGACTCAGTCGTCACATTAATAATTTTAAATAGGGTATAAGACTACAAAAGACTTTTAAGGCCCCAAAGGGCAAATTGGTCACTTACACTTTTTTTTGGCTTATGTCAGCAAGATTCTTCTAACAGGTTTAATGTGCACTTCACGGTAAGGGATTTATAAAATGAGGCTATTAACTGTAAGAGTGAGAATGTAATTTTTAAAACGTCAAAGGTGTAATGTAATCGGGCCAAACGTCAGGGGTATGCATTCATAAATTTACCCTATATTTTATGTCAATAGTTATATGATTAGTTGTGCATTCATAAATTTGCATCATCTTAATTATTTGCATGATATAAATGGTTTTAGGAATTTTTTTATAAAAATATGTTACTATTATTTAAGCTTCCAAAATTTTCAAAAGACCCAACAAAATAATACATTATTTTGATATGTCTAAAATTTCAAAAAACTTTGGACAGCAACTGCTGCATGATAAACTTTCGACTTTGTGAAGTTTTTGTCAGGTGTTAATAAAGTATAAACAATTCGAAGTTTATTTGGAATGACTTGCTTGTCATGGAAAGACTTGGCCGTGGGTAGAGTTTTAAAATTATAATTTGAGAATACAGTTATATTTTAAATTTGTGAGTTTTGAAATAATTATTTAAAAATAGAAAATTTGGTTGTTTATGAATTTTGAAAAGAGTTTTAAATTTTTAATGTGATATATAAAATGAGAAAAGTTGTTTGGTTATGAGTTTTCAAAAGAGTTTTTAAAACTTAATTGAAAAACTTATAACTTATAACTAAAAACCAAACACACAACTCAATACTCTATTGAAAATTCTATTCAAAACTCATAACCAAACTCTTTTTAAAATTCAATTCAAAAAAATAATTTGTCATTTTGGTCTACAAAAATAATTTTTATATTTAAAAAAATATTAAAAACAAATATATATATTTTTTCCAAATAACAGATGGCGATTGGTAATTGCAAAAAAATAAATAAATAAATAAATAAATAAATAAATAAATTTATGGAAAAATAAATAAATAAATAAATAAATAAATAAATAAATAAATAAATAAATAAATAAATAAATAAATAAATAAATAAATAAATAAATAAATAAATAAATAAATAAATAAATAAATAAATAAATAAATAAATAAATAAATAAATAAATAAATAAATAAATAAATAAATAAATAAATAAATAAATAAATAAATAAATAAATAAATAAATAAATAAATAAATAAATAAATAAATAAATAAATAAATAAATAAATAAATAAATAAATAAATAAATAAATAAATAAATAAATAAATAAATAAATAAATAAATAAATAAATAAATAAATAAATAAATAAATAAATAAATAAATAAATAAATAAATAAATAAATAAATAAATAAATAAATAAATAAATAAATAAATAAATAAATAAAACATTAGGATTAACAATTGTACCTGCCAAGTACGCGTACCTGTCTGTACCTCTTAACCATCTCCAACGCCTTCTATATATCTCCCCTCTCCTCCCTCCCCAACCTCCATTCCCAATTCTCTCTCTCAAAACTCTCTCGCATCAGTCTCTCTCTAGAGCACATTCTCTCATTCTCTCTCCAGAAAACCGATGAAGAAGCTGATCCGGCGCCTGTCGCGTGTGGCGGACTCGTCGCAGTACTGCCTTCTCCGATCCGAATCGAAGACGCCATCTCGTTCCGGCGCGTTTGACGCTTTCCGTTTCCGTTCCCCTTCAATTCTCCGGTCCGGAGTCCGATCCGCCACCGTACCGGAGGGACACGTACCGGTGTTCGTCGGCGATGGGATGGAACGATTCATTGTGAGTGCAGATCTCCTAAACCACCCGATCTTCATCAAGCTTCTCAATAAATCGGCTCAAGAGTACGGATACGAGCAAAAAGGCGTCCTTCGAATCCCCTGCAATGTACTCGTCTTCGAACGCGTACTTGAAGCTTTGCGTGTCGGCGACAATTCAGTTCAAGATCTTCTCAACTCTTTGTCCGATGAGTTTCTTTAGGCCCTTTCTTTCTTTCTTCTTTTTTTTTTTCTTTTTTCTTTTTTTTTTTTTT